CCAGTGAATTCGAGCTCGGTACCCTATTCATTTATTTATTATTTGCTTGTTTGTTTGAGTGTTGGATTATCTCTGCTGGCTGCCGCCGGCGCGAGGCTTCAGCCTTTGATTTTTGTGTAAGGCGAATAATAAGAGTTTGCTGCTGCAGCAAATGGGTCTGCGCTGCTGCCGCGAGTGCGTAGCTGCAGAATACAGCGCGCATCCCCACAGCAAGAACATTCTAAAAATAATAATAATAATTAATAATTAATAATATTATTATTTATTACTTATTATTATTATTATATATATTATTATTATTTGTTGCTGCAGCAGCAAACTCTTATTATTCGCCTTACACAAAAATCAAAGGCTGAAGCCTCGCGCCGGCGGCAGCCAGCAGAGATAATCCAACACTCAAACAAACAAGCAAATAATAAATAAATGAATAAGTTAAAATAAATGCAAATAAATAAATAAATGAATAAATAAATAAATATAAATAAATAAATAATAAATTCAAATAGAGAAGACAGGGAGCTTCGAGGCGCAGAGAAAGCGGTGTTCAGGTGTATGGAAGAAGCTTCTGAATTTTGGAATTGAACAATTTAAATTAAATTAAATTAAATTAATTTAATTTAAATATGCAAATGACAAATTATAATGAAATAAAACAACTTCATTAAAAGTGATTTAAATTAAATGGGATTCGCTGCAAGTCCTGCTGTATATACACCTGCCGTGTTCGCCCCTTCTCATTTATGCACGCGCCACTCTATAATATTTATTATTTACTTATTTACGAATATATTTATCATTTATCCATTATTTGTTCTCTATTTATTTATTTATTTATTATATTTGCTTCTAATTGACTCGTTTTTGTCGAAGACTTCTCGCTTCGCCTAAGCAGCTCTTAATGGCCCCCTGAGGTCATTTCCTTTTATTTATCTATTTGCCATTTGCCATTAATTTATTATTTATTATTCATCATTTATTACTGTTTATTATTTATTATTTACTTATTTATTTATTTATTTTTGCTTTTTGAGGCGAGAAAGAAAGGGTGGACAGCCTGTGGGCGCTGGGGTGTACGTACAGTGCGTCTTGGCGCGTGCGGCAAAGCAGTCAGTCATTTGGCCTTTAAAGCATTTATTTAAATGCCCGCATTTTACTTAATTGTCTATATTTATTTGAATAAACAAATATGTTAATTCATGTTAATTCATTTATAAATGATTAAGTACTTGAACTTCGAGAAAACGACTGCTTGTGAGTTAAATGCTTTGTTGCTTCTGCGGTGTACGTACACCTCAGCACTGCTCGAATTGCCAACTTCAAATGCATGCAGATCAGATCCGTGCAAATATACATATATAATATATAAAATATATGTATACTATGTATAATATATACATAATATATATATATATTATAAATCTATACAATAATATATATAATATATACAATATGTATGATATATACATAATCTATATATAAATCTATATATACATATTATATATGTATATGATAGGTATATATAGATGTATATAGATATATATATAACATATATATATTTTGCATATATAGATTTATATAGACATATATAAAATATGTATATGATATGTACATATACGTTTGTATATATATATATTATATATATATATGTATATATAGATTATATAGAAACATATATATAATATATATATTTCTGTTCAAAAAGTTTATATATATTTGCATGTATTTGAACGTCCAGCTGCATTTGTGGATGAGTGCTGTTTATTTCAATTAAGTATATAGCCATAAGTATGTCTAAAATACATATATTATTTATTATTAATTTATTTAGTCTCTTTATTCATTTATTATTCATCTAGTTATTTATTTATTTATTTATATTTATTTATTTATTTCCACAGGCGTGCATGCGTAACTGAAGCTGCGTGGGGTGTACATACACCTAAATTGCTTTTTAAACATCTGTAAAGTGTAAATACAAAAAAAAATTAAAATATAAAAACAACTGCAGCCGGCTAACAACCTCAAGTGTGCAAACAAAACCCATAAAATAACCCTAAGCCCTAAACCCTAAACCCTAGCCCTTGAGCCCCTCCTGGTACCCCGTCCCGCGTTCTACGATTTAGGGTTTAGGGTTTCGGGGTCCTACGATTTAGGGTTTAGGGTTTCGGAGGTTCTACGTATTAGGGTTAAGGGTTTAGGGTTTCTGCAATCTAGGGTTTAGGGTTTAGGGTTTAGGGTGTCGCTGCAGAGAGCCTGCTGCAAAAGCTTATTATTTATTTATTTTCGGAGCAAATGCCAAAAAGGATTTAAAACTTTTGATGCATGCATACGCTTTAGCTTCTATTTAAATAAATAAAAATGTACAAATATAAAATAAAAATATAAAATATAATTATATATAAATGCATTTATTTATTTATTTATTTGTAGATTAAATGCACAGAGAGGTGTATATAAACTGCAGCTGTATATACTGATGCACAGGCATGTGTGTGAAGATAGATATGTGTTGCTGCTGCTGCTGCTGCTAATGTTGTGCGCTGCCTCGCAGCAGCAGCAGCAGCTGCTGCTGCTGCTGCTGCTTTAAAGGCACGCATGAAGATATGCATGCCTGTGTTGGTTTTAAGTATGCATTTTAGTCTTTTGATATTTCATGAAGATGGAGAGATAAATGCAAATACTTATTTGGAAAAGAAATGCATATAAAATAAATAAATAAAAGTAAATTTATATCTCCAAAAGAAATAAACAAACATGCGCAGCTGCACCAGTGAGGTGTACGTACACCCGAACGCCTCGCCCGCGGCAAAGCTAAATGCCACAAGACCGAAATAAATAAATAAACAAATAAATAAACAAACAAATAAATAAATAAATAAATAAATAAATATTATAAATAAATAGGTAAATAATAAAATGAATAAAATGAATTTGTATTTCTGAATTGTTATGAAATGAAATTCATAAATGCACAAATCCACTTGCGGGTTTTCAAGATTTGTCTTTCTCGTCTTCGTTTCCTTTCATTTATCCTTTTTTATTTATTATTTATTATTTATTATTGTTTATTATTTATTATTTACTATTTATTACCATTTATCATTCATTATTGATTATTGATTATTGATTATTGATTATTTATTATTTACTATTATTTACTTATTATATTTTTCATTTCATCAATTTGTCTTTTTGGGCTCGTTGCGAACAATTAAATAAATAAGTAAATAAATAATAAATAATAAATAATAAATAATAAATAATAAATGATAAAGTGGTAAATAAATAGATAATAATAGTAAATAAATAAATAAATAAATAAATAAATAAATAAATAAATTAAGATGAAAAATGGGGCCGAAGGCAAAAGCCGAAATGAAAAGAAGTCAAAGGCATTTCTTTAACTTCATTTTAAACTCTTCTTTCTTTTTTCTTTTTTAATTTCTTTTTTATTTCTTTTTAATTCTTTCCATTTCTTTTCATTTATTTTCATTTATTTTCATTTATTTTCATTTCTTTTCATTTTTTTTCATTTCTTTCCATTTCTTTGCATCAATTTGTTCCTTTTATTTGTTTATTTCTTTTCATTTATTTATTTATTTATTTATTTTTATTCTTGAATTTAAGACAAAGCAATTCTGCTGGGGTCCAGCTCAGTGACAGCTCCTTGCTTGACGCCCCACAAGTACCAGTACAGCAAAATGCCCAGCTGCAGCAACCGCAAACCCTAAACCCTAAACCCTAAAGACTAGACCCTAGACCCTTCCAGGTGCGTTTTAAGGGACCTGCTGCTCGCTGCAGCAAAGTGCTTCTCAACTCCCCAGCCACGAACGCCAGCCACAAACCCTAAACCCCAAACCCTAAACCCTAAACCCTAAAGTCCCATCCTTACGGGTTGTCCGGTGAAGCAAAATACGAGCCAAAAGAAACAATTTCCAACTGTCGGGTTATCTTGGAACTGCACAAACAAACCCTAAACCCTAAACCCTAAACCCTACACCCTAAACCCCAACTCCGCAACACGAAGCCGCCGTGCAGAAAGAAAGCTAAGGCCAGCAGCACTATGAGCGCAGGGTTTAGGGTTTAGGGTTTAGGGTTTGAAGTTTTTCTTACAAATTGGATGTTGGTGAAATACATGAGGGGGATTTGTCCTGCAGAGGCGCAGCAAACGAAACCAGGCTCTAATCCATAAACCCTAAACCCTAAACCCTAAGACTCTAAACCCTAAACCCTAGACCCTAGCCCACAGTTGTAGCAAGAACGAAACTAAGTGCGATTCATCCAAACAGCGACAAACTGCAGCAATTGGCGGCAGCAGCAACGCTGGCAGCAGCAGCAGCAGCCTCGCGGGCAGCAGCAGCGGCAGCAGTAACAGCAACGCGCAGCAACAGCAACTCCCACAGCACCAGCAGCAGCAGCAACACCGATAGCGAAGCCCACAGCAGCAGCAGCAGTAACAGCCACAACATGCAGCAGCAGCAACACCCAAAGCAGCAGTAGCAGCAGCAACAGCAGCAGCAGAAATAGCAGCAGTGGCAGCAACGGCAGCAGCAGCAGCGGCAGAAATAGGAGCAGTAGCAGCAGCAGCAACAACAACAACAACAACAACAACAACAACAACAACAGCAGCAGGAGCAGGAGCAGGAGCAGCAGCAGGAGCAGCAGCAGGAGCAGCAGCAGCAGCAGCAGCAAACCTATGAAGGCGAAGAAAATGAAGCCAGTCCAGCCTAGCTGCAGCGGCACCACTACGAGGTACTCGTGCATTAAAGCGGAAATGAAAAAAACGACACAAGCAGCAAAAAACTTGGGGACTCCTGCGCGCAGCAGCAGCAAAACCCTAGCTAGGGTTTAGGGTTTAGGGTTTGGAGGCTTTGGGGTTTAGCCGGTGTCGCGTTCAGGGTTTAGGAGCCCAGGGGGCCTCGAGCTGCCTGCTGCCAAGGCTGCGGCCCCGCGAAGGGGACCTGGGCTTTCCATATTAGGGTTTAGGGTTTAGGGTTTAGGGTTTAGGGTTTAGGGTTTACCGTTTCTGAGTAAGGGTTTGTTGACGTGGCGGTGGAGGAAGAAATGAATCGGAAGATTCCACTTGCGCCAATACTCTCCAAACGACGACGCGTTCCACCAGTCCTAAACGCAAACCCTAAACCCTAAACCCTAAACCCTAAACGCTAAATCCTCAGCCCTGAATGCGGGGCCGGGAAATCCTGCTCGGGCGTTTCAGGACAGCTGCAGCGCGGGCGCCCCTGGAGCTCCAAACCCTAAACCCTACCCAAACCCCCAAACCCCAAACCCTAAACCCTAAACCCTAAACCCTCACGAGGTAAAACTCCCTGTCGCCAAACCGCGTTATTTCTGCCAAGATATTACACCAGTGGTGGAAGAGGCCGATGAACATCAGCAGCCAAACGTACAGGTTCGGGATCGACAAGCGCACCATCTGCACGCAAACCCTAAATCAGGGTTTAGGGTTTAGGGCCTAGGGTTTAGGGCCTGCGGCTCAGAGTCTTGGGCCTAGAGTTTTAGGGTTTAGGCTTGCGCCTAGCGTTCAAAGCATAACGCCGAGGGTTTACAGCCTAGCGCCTAGGGCTTACGGCCTGCAGCTTAGGGTTTAGGGTTTAGGGTTTAGGGTTTACCTGTCTAAAGAAATGAGAGACAAGAACAGATAAAGGAATCGACTGCAGCTCCGTTATCGAAAAGGAGTCGCGAACAACAACCCAGATGTACTGGTCGATTACAATCCTGAACAAACCCTAAACCCTAAACCCTAAACCCTAAACCCTAGTCCCAAGCCCTAGACCCTAAACCCTAAACCCTTGCCCTTCTGCGAGTGGCTTCCCTTGGGATAAACTGAAATGCAAAAAGAAAAAGAATACTGAGGACTCGCTGGACAAAGGCTACAAACGAGGGTTTAGGGTTTAGGGTTTAGGGTTTAAGCTGGGTTTATCCTTGTCCCCTGCATTCAGCCACTGACTATGCCCTTCAGGCCCCACACTGTGAACCACAAACCCTAGTTCCCAAACCCTAAACGCTAAACCCTAAACCCCAAACCCTAAACCCTAAACCCTAAACCCTTAACCCTAAACCCTACTTGGAAGCACATTGTTGGCAAAACAATAAATCTGTACACGTGGGCCAAAGTAATGCTGTGGGGGTAACGCGCCGCAGCTCGAGCTTCCTGCAGCAACGCAAAACCCTAAACCCTAAACCCTAAACCCTAAGCCCTAAACCCCGGACAACAGGCATAAGAAGCGCAGGCCGCCAAGCGCAAGCAACTGCTGGCAAACCCTAAACCCTAAACCCTAGGCCTGAGGCTACCAGGCAAACCCTACACCCTAAACCCTAAACCCTAAACCCTAAACCCTAAACCCGAAACTGACTTCTTCGCGGTCGCTGCACAGCGCAAGGAAGTCCTCACCCCGCCTGCAGCAGCAGCACACAGTCGCAGAATCTGGGGTTTAGGGTTTAGGGTTTAGGGTTTAGAGGCCATCTGCAGCAAATCACTTAGCTGCCACAAGAGGGTTTGGTGTCAGCTGTCGTGCTGCGGCCTGCGCCACCGCACTGGTTGCCGTTGCTGCTGCAGCAGCTGCTGCTGCAGCAGCAACTGCTGCTGCTGCTGCTGCAACTGCTGCTGCTGCTGCTGCTGCAACTGCTGCTGCAACTGCTGCTGCTGCTGCTGCTGCTTACAGCATGGCCCGTCGGGTGTCTAGACAGGTGTGATGCATTGAAAAAAGTTTGAAGCACCAAACGATGGAAAACGCCAGCAGCAAAGAGCCCACCACTGCAGCACAAACATATGACATTTGCTGCTGCTACTGCTGCTGCTGCGGGAGGGAAGCCCATGCTGCTGCGTACTACGCTGCGGGCTGCGGTGAAAGGACTCCAGCAACAGCAGCAGCAGCAGCAGCAGAAGCAGCAGCGAGCGCAGCGGCTGAAGCAACAGCACATTGTAAACGGTAGCAGCAGCAGCAGCACCACCGCCAACAGCAGCAGCGTCAGCAGCAGCAGCAGCAGCGTCCGCAGCAGCAGCAACAGCGCCAGCAGCAGCAGCAGCAGCAGCAGGTGGCGTGCCTGGTTCTGGCTGGTAGTTGAGGACAGTGAGGAAAGGCATGAAGAAGCAAATGGACAAGTTCAGCAGCACGAGAGCAGCAACAAAACCATCAAAGACTTCCAGAGAAGCAGCAGCAACAAAACGCTCTATCACGTACGCCCCCACAATGCACAGGTGCAGCTGAGACGCAGCAGCAGCAGCAGCAGCAGCAGCAGCAGCGCAATCCGCAAACAAACACACAGAATCCTGCTGCTGCTGCTGCTGCTGCTGCTGGACGCTGACTGACACTCGTGTGGACACGGCGCATTGGCTGCACCTCCCGCTGTGTATGCTGCAGTTGCTGCTGTGTCTGCTGCTGCTGCTGCTGCTGCTGTTTCTGCTGCAGCTGCTGCTGGCTGCTGCAGCTGCTGGAAAGGCTTCCGCAACGGCTAAGCTGTGCCCACAGCCCCAAACCCTAAACCCTAAACCCTAAACGCCAAACCCTAAACCCTAAAGCCAGACTCACGAGGAGGAAGCAACAAAGCACTGGCCAGTTTTTGCTCAAGTCCTCCAGACTCCTCGGAAACTGCAGCAAACAGCCTGCAGCAGCAGCAGCAGCAGCAGAGGCAGTACACACTCTATTTCCTATCCTCTAAACCCTAAACCCTAGACCCTCCCTACCAAAGCTAATCCCCAAACACTCAGCGCAAACCCTCCCCTGCCCCTGAACCCCAAACCCTAAACCCTAAACCCTAAACCCTAGAGCCTCCCCGTGCACCCTGGCCGCGCCCCCGCCCCCCGCCCGCCAAACCCTAAACCCTAAACCCTAAACCCTAAACCCTAAACCCTCGGGCCCCGCGGCGCGCCCAGACGGCGTTTCGCCGCGGCCCGGCGCCGCCGCCCAAACCCTAAACCCTAAACCCTAAACCCTAAACCCTCGGACCGTAGGTGAGGATGTTTTCGGCGACGAGGCTGGCGTTGACCACCACGAGAACAATAAAAAACAAATTGAAAAACCCTCGGAGATTTAGGGTTTTGGAGTGGTGGGACAGCAGCGAACTCTTGAAGCTCGCGTGCTCCACGTCGTGCAGCGGCCTGCGTTGCAGCAGCTCATTTATTTATTTATTTATTTTAATTAATTTAATTAAATTGATTTAATTTATTTTATTTAATTTAACTTAATTTATTTATTTTGTTTGTCTTGTTTGGTTGGTTGGGCTCTGCTGCGGCTGCTGCAGGCAAAGCCCTTCGCCCGAAGTTCAGGTTCGACGCGAAAGCCAAAATAGGACTTTTAAATAAATAAATAAATAAACAAACAAATAAATAAATAAATATAAATAAATAAATGAATAAATGAAAATAAAAAGATGTAAAGGGGGGCTGGCGAAGCAGCAGAACAAATGAAGACGAACTGAGAGAAGGGCTCAGCAGCAGCAAATCAGAGCAGCAAGCTGCAGCAGCAGCAGCAGCAGCAGCAGAAGTGACACAGCACCAGCTGCTGGCCCTGCTGCTGCTGCTGCTGTAGCAGCGGGAGCTTCCCCGGCAGAAGCAGAGCCAAGCCAGGCACGTGCAGCAAACAAATAGCAGCAGCAGCAGCAGCAGCAGCGAAGCATTCACTGCAGCAGCAGGGCTGCCAGCAGCCGCAGCAGCAGCTGCCACAGCTGCAGCAGCAAACGCAGCCGCAGTGACTGCAGCTGCCGCCAAACGAAACAATCTATAGCGGCACAAGAAGCAGCAGCAGCGGCAACAGCAGCAATAGCAACAGCAGCAGCAGCGGCAACAGCAGCAATAGCAACAGCAGCAGCAGCAGCAGCAGCAGTTCTTACCTCCCCCTGTAGTCCACGGCCTTCCCAGGTGTCGCTGCATAGCTGAGCTGCAGCCCCCCAGCACTCCGCTGCTGCTGCTGCTGCTGCTGCTGCTGCGTCCTTCTCTGCTGCAGTGTTTGCTTTTGCTTCGCCTGCTGCTGCATGCTGGCTTCCGCCACTTGCTGCTGCTGCTGCTGCTGCTGCTGCCGGCGCAGCAGCCGCTTCTTTCTATTGACCAAAACTTCTTCTTTGAGTTCCTGCAGCTGCTCAAGGCGAACTGCGCTGCTGCTGTGGGCCATCCAGACTGTTCTTGCTGCTGCTGCTGCTTTTGCTGCTGCTGCTGCTTCCTCTGCTGCTGCTGCTGGCGAGGCGGTTCCGTCGCGGCCCGCAGCTGCTGCTGCTGCTGCTGCTGCCGCTGGGGAAAACGAACCAGCAGCAGCAACAGCAGCAGCAGGAGATAACACCGAGGGGCAGGCGGAGCTGCTGCTAAGGCTGCCGCTGCTGCCGCATGATGCACGAGAAAACGGGGTGAGGTTTGCTGCTGCTGCTGCTGCTGCTTCTGTTTCCACTGCTGCTGCTTCTGCTGCTGCTGAGGCGGTGTCCGCTGCTGCTGCTGCTGCATTGTCTGCTGCTGTCGCTGTCAGAGCCCTGGACTCTTCATCTGGAGCTTCTGATGCTGCTTCAGCAACAACTGAAGCCGTCGTGAGCTCTGCTGCTGCTGCTGCTGTTGCTGCTGCTGCTGCTGCTCCCGCTGCTGCTGCTGTTGCTGCGCCGCCCTTCCCATGACGCCTGTGCTGCTCCTCAGCGCCCACGGCCTGGCCTTTTGTTGCTGCAGCTAGCCACGACATCTTCGCTACTGCTGCTGCTGCTGTCGATTCCCGCTGCTGCTGCTGCTGCAAATTCGAGTGTGTGTGTCTGTAAGCGGTGGAACAACAACTCTGCTGCTGTTGCTGCGTGTTGCAGCTGCTGCTGCTGCTTCAGCCGCTGCTGCTTCGACTCAAGCTACAGTCGCCGCAAGCTGTTGCTGCTGCTGCTGCTGCTGCTGGCCGGGCAGCAGGACATACTGAGAGCCGCGCAAAGCGCCAGAAGTCAATCTAGGGTTTGGGGTTTAGGGTTTAGGGTTTGGAATTAGCGGAAACGGAAGTATAAAAGCAGACCTGTGGGGTGGCCTAGCCGTTGCTGCTCGAACAACACGCTGCTGGCGCTGCTGCTGCTGCTGCTGTCAATCTGCCTGCAGCAAATCTTCTGATGTGCTGCGGCTTTTTGTTGCTGCTGGTCATTTGGTTTCTGCCGCTGCAGCTTTTGAAGGAATTACAATAAGGATTTTGCTGCTGTTGCTGCTGCTGATCGCAGCCCCGGAGACAGCGGCGCCGCTGCTGCTGCCTAGCAGCTGGAGAAGCAGCAGCAGCAGCACCTGCTGCTGCTGCTGCAGCAAATACGCCCTGCTGCTGGCTCTCACAGACAATGAAAAATTAGCTAGTGTTTTATTTAATATAACAATTGGAAGCAGCAGCAACAAGTGCAGCAGCAGCAGCAGCCCTGCAGCAGCACGGCTACGGTTGAGGTTGGGGGTAGTCTGGTTGCTGTTGCTGCTGCTGCTGCTGCCGTTGCTGCTGCTACTGCTGCGCACCTCGCGGGCTGCTGCTGCTGCTGCAGCGGCGGCGGCAGCAGCAGCAGCAGCACGTTAGGAATTGCTGCAGCTTTCTGAGGTGTATACATTTTGCTGTTGCGGCTTATAAGACATACATCGCTGCCGCTGCCTCTGTACCTGTTGACTCCGGCTGCTGCTGCTGCCGCTGCGGTGCTGCTGTTGCTGCTGCTGCTGCTGCCAACAGCAACTACGGCTGCACCGAAAATCTCCACTGCAAGTCGGATCTCTACAGCAAACAGCAGCAGGGGCAAACGCAGCTTCTCCAGGTGTGTTGCTGCTGCTGCTTCTGCTGCTT